ATAACGTTCGAACGTTTTTGCTATGATTGTTACTTTACTTAAAAAGCTGCTGTCAAACTATGACGATCAGGCAATGGTGGACGTTTGATACGAACTGAAATGGTTCCTACAAAATTATGAAAATGCATTTCTAAGAAATCCCTTGCATCGATCTTATAGACAGTACTCTTATAATATATCATACGAAGCACATTTTGCAATATTGTAATATCTTTCAGCACAATTGTCATTTCTTCGCTAAAATTGCCAGTTATTTGAATGATTTCAGATGTGTTAGATCCCATATTCAATGCAGGAACAAATATAACCCCTAACTTACTCCGGGATATTATAGAAAATTGTAAATGTTTGTCGGAACGACTAAGACAACGATAAATTATTTCTGATATCGAGAGACCAATGATATGTGCCGTGTGTAGCGGTTCTAATTGGATACCACTTCCAATATAGTCGATTGGTGACATGGAATAGCATATGATGAACGGCTCTTCTAGTCTGATAGTATCGTTGTAGAACTCTTCTGCCTCCTGCAATCGTTTCTCTTCATTGGATTTTAGTCTATATTTATGTCTGCATATACACTGATGAACTGCTTGAGATACATTCCCCTTTACGCTATTAAGATTTACCTGATGATATACATTGTTTTCTTTCCTACGAAGTTCCTTACACTCGAATGACAGATGATTAAATCTCGCCCCAGATGTGTCTGTATGTGACATTTGAAGCAAAAACGATATCATACATCCTGTCGAGAATGACGTGATATAAACAAGAACTATGTATAAGGAAGAATTCATTGCTCGAATGTTGGATCATATAAATGATATTCCACCCGATTGTACAGCAGCGAATCAGATCACAGTATTCTTTGATTCATCCGACGATATGAGATCTGGATAGTACAACAGCTGGTATTGGGTAACCATGGTAACTGCACCAGACTATATAAGTTTATGTATAAAAGCACCTCCATTCTCAGAGAAATAATGTAATGCACAATAATACGCGTTATTTTGCTGTGGTAATTATATTATTTTATATCCCTGAAACGTTGTATAAACGTTATTTCATATTGTATATGATTATTATAACTGTATTAATAAAAATGCTGCTTAAATACCCTGTTAGATAATCCACAGTATAAAAATAGAATACATGATTGACATTCCATTAACACGATCAGGTTAACATTTGACACCTATCGATTGGTCACCAAGGTAACAACATACTGCATAACATTTTTGATAATATGTATTTGTTGTTGTAAACGTTTGCTAGAGACAAAATGTGAAAATACTAAACAATTTTTCATCGTTTTGGAGTACAAGAGTAATTTTAATTGAAACAATTTGTGCTTCCTTGTTGACAGATGTATTCCTTTTGTTGACATACTAGTAAAAGCTGAATACAATACAAAACAAACTCTTTATTTTCAGATATATCGATTATGTACTATTCATCAACAATCTTAAATTTGGTGATTATATTATATGACCTATTCGAACAATTAAATGGCCATTCGAACATGAGATTAAGGAGACTGCAGAATGTGCGTCTTCTACTTCATATTTAGATATTGACCTTTAATTTGATATCAAGGGCAACTTTCTACCAGACTATATGCTAAGAGGGATGATTTTCATTTGACTATCACTAATTTTCCGCACTTTTTGCAGCAAATATTCAACTACTCCTGTCTATATATAGGGTATATATTTCGTAAAGAACAACTAGTCTTAACCTTCAAATGTTTTTTAGCAGATATATTGAGTTTGATCCCAGATCACATTTGTCCGATGTATTCCACATGTTTCAAATAGAAACCAATAGATTATGTCTCCGAAATATATATAGTGGGTGTCACATATGGGGCAAGGTGTACCTACTATTTGCAGAACACCTGACATACAATTGAGTCCACGTGTTTTCTCTCGTTGATTTGACTATGTAGTATTATGTTAGTGTGACTGCAAATGTTCTGACTTTTAAACCGATTTCTTTTAATGTTTTTTCTAGTCAGTTTTACAACTTGTATAAGTTGTGTGCTTCGAATTATTGTCAATATTAGTGTGTTGAAGTAGGCTTATGGAATGCGAGCGTGTCTATATTACAGATAGCCTGTGGTAGGTCAAACATCTCTGTAACATGGGTTATTGTGTTTTGGTATGGGCTTGAGTCATTGTATTTACGCGTATGAATGTGTTGTGCCCTTTTTTCTAAGCACAACTCTACCCAATAGTTCAGCGCTTTTTTTAATGATATAAAGCTTAGTTTTAGAGTTTCGATAAGAAAGAAATCCACCACCTAATAACTTTCCAAGTTTCATCCGTCTGATACACGTGGGGACAAATTTTGGCGATATATCATGTATGCCCCTAATTGTAACATTCGGCTGCTTTGAGTAAGCTTATAGATGATGTAGCATTACTTGTTGGCAGATAATACATATGAATAGTCATCTTTATTTTTTTTTCCTATTTCCAAACTAGGCACAATCATCATCTTTCCAACGTTCAGAATGGAAATGAATGAAGAATAGAATGTCAGTTTGATGCAGAGATAGCTAATCAAAAGTAATTCATGCCATATATAAACGTTCTTACCATGGACAAAACGGGTGACTTTTCCAGCTGTTATTGGAATTAGATTTATTACTTGGTCGTCCAAATGTTCAACCAAAGAGTTGTCTAAAATCTATTTTGTCCACACTCAAAGAAGGTTTACAGGAATACTGTGATGTCACAGATTAAATTTCAAAACTGTAAGTGGTTAGATTAAAATTGGTTAAACAATCGTCGGAACTTTTTTATTGAAGTCTGTATTACATTGGAAAACAGTGTAGAAATAATGAAGGTACTATACATTGTCGTAACATTTTGAAAATTAAAATTACAACTCAAGTAGTCACTGAAATACAAATAAAACATTAACCGAAATGTATTACAAGTACAACAATTTACTGATGCCTTTAAGCTTTTATGTTGTCAGTAAATTATTTGCCCTGGCGCCCAAAAAAATTTTACCTAACATTGCAAAAAACAGGATACTGCACAAACAAATGTATTAATGTTTCCTCTAAATCACAAAATATACTCCTGCTGGATTGTACCACATGCGGCATAATGTTATCTTTGTTGTTCTAAACTACTGGATTCTGGCAAAACTGATCTCAACTTGACAATTTTGATAGATATTTTGAGAAGCATATAATTGTAGATAGAACGATTTCTCTAAATTGAAGAATGATTTTGGTTCCGTAATTACATTATTGAGTTAATATTAATATTATGGCATCTGTTAAATGTATGGATAGTTTGCTCTCACTCACAGCAATATCCGACTCTAAATCTAATAAACGTACGTTTATTCCTTTCCCATGGATGCATATTGCATTTAATCATTTGCCAAAAAAGCTTAACTTTATTGTTGCAATTTGCATATGTAATTGTTGTTGTTCTAATACATGCATTTATGAGAGTGGAGTAGAAAATATCAATCAAAAGTGATCCAATTTCGTCTTAACTAAATACACTGAAGGTCGACAGTGCCAGGTGATTTCATATTTCTCCAAGTAAATCATCGATCCTCAACACGTCTAAGCCGCCTACAGTTTTCGAATAAATTCCTGCGAATGTCGTTCCTAAATATAACACGATGACTACATTCATTACAATCGTATTTTATTTCTTTGTTCAAATATCGTTTACATTATTCCTAATTTATCTTAAATTTGATTAACACTGGTCTGTAACATGTTCTTTAGAGACACAATCTAGCGTATTATTTTGCAGTTATATGGCTCTGGCAATCCGTGCATGAGCTCTCAAATCTCATGAAATAGTAAATGTTTTTCACTGTTACGTATGAAATCCTGTATTTGGAAGCTGTGAAGTAAAAAGTATACTTCATGAACCATCACAAAAAGGCGCTTACGAATGGCATATAATTATCTTATTTTTCAATAAATTATAATTTTTGTCTTGTCAATATAGCACTTCAAAACCAAAGATGTTTATCGATAACCCTTTCTCTCCAAACTCTCTCAAATATTATGTAGTGTTTGATTATTCAATGCATTTGCAATGGATTTGCGCGTTGCCGACTACTTTAAAAACATTAGTTTATCACGACATTCTTGGAGTCATCTCAAATGGCTGCGACGAGTCCATAGTTTTTGTGAAATCTATAAGCACATTAGATGATGGAACATTTCTCTCAAGCAAGTCGATTTTTTTATTTATAATATATATAATGGAAGTCAGTAATTTGAGGAACTGGGTCCAGTGTTTTGTAAAATGAACATAATAATGCACGTCAGTAATGTCGCATTCATTTAATTACACAGTTTTGGCGTCTATTGTTGTTTAACCGTGGTTCTCTTTTTCAACTTTAAGTTAAGTTCACATAAATTATTCTGAAACATGATGTGTTTTGTGTATAAACCATGTTTCCACCTATAGTTGTCGTATGATTTACTATTGACAGTTTGAGAATCGTGGTGTATCCACACATCTTTACAGAAAATGCTTTGAGTCCTACCTAGTGCGTCCAACCAAAACTCAATATGACCGCGATTAAACGGTACGCGGTTATCAAACCAAATTTTTCTGAGGGTAGACGTTTTTGCCATGAAGAAATTTAGTGACAGCTCTGTCCACTGACAGTTCGGGAAAGATGGATGAGGAATTGAACGTTCAATTCCACGGTAACACATTCCATGATCAGAATAGTCTATTGTCATTAAATGGGCTTGTCCAGTATTATTTCTATATCCGGTTAAGGATCCCGAAACTAAATCACTATGGTAACTGCGATTCTCTAGTTTATCAACCATTAATTCTAATTTTGTTTTGTTTGTAAAGAACATGTCATCGTCTACATATACAACATACTTAGTGCGCACTTGACTTAATATCACATTTCTTCCTGGGAAATTTCCCAACTTAAAAGGCATACCATATTGCTTTACGTTTTCCCTGTTTATATGCTTCATCTTTCTGTTATCATCTGCAACAATAATAGTCATATTTGGGTAGAATTTATGCACACTGTCTATCAATCGAAGAACACCTTCATAGCGTTCGAAAGTTTTCACAATAATGGTAACTTGCTGAGATAAATCTCCATTTGAAATAAGATCAAATCGTTCTGGAATTAGTGATCGCTTGATGTGGACACTTATGTGAACTGGATCAAAGTTGAGAAACCTAATTTCAATGGTGTCTCTTGTATCTATGTCGTATACAGTGCTTGTGTATACTATACTCGATAACAAGCGATTCAATTCAATAATATGGCCATACAGAGCAACTTCCAAATGTTCACTGTTGTTTCCAGTAATTGATGCGCTGTCTACACCCACACATGGAAGACTTACCGTGCCCAAATAACCAAGAGAAATGATCGACACATTAAATCGCGCGGGCATGTGTGTGTAATCCGATATAAATAAACCAATAACTGGGATGCTTTTTAGAGGTTCTACCAAAAGCCCACTTCCAATGTAATTAACTGGCGACATCGCCGCACATACGATAATAGGTTCGCCACGTTTTAACTGGCGGTTGTCAGACGCCCTTGATTCGATCCGCATTGTTGCACGTGTTTCGGTTGGTAGTTTGTCATACAGCGTTGAACAAGAACACCGTCTCTTCACACTCCGCATTCGATTGTCAATGGCGTCGTCGCGGTCATCATTTGCGGTATGTTTTGTTGTGTTTTCCAGATATGCAGAGATTGACCGAATGTCCCCTGTTGAAGTTTGTCCTCGAATCCCAACACTGTTCGCTTTGTTATATGTTACAGTCATCTTGACGACAGTTGAAAACAAACATCCACAAGAAAATGATAGCAGATAAAAAAACAAATATCGTGTACGATACATGGTTATTTACGACGAGAGATAATAGAGTACACCACATGTGACTAATCCCTCCCCGTATGCTTATTTAGTGACCGACATAATTAATATACCATATGCATCTAAACGTATCGACTAGAAATCGGGCATGGAAAATCACACATTATTAAAAAAAACGTACCCAATTCTAGTTATAATAAATCTAAACTGTTTTACACGGAAATGCACTATTAACATTAATTGCTTTCTGATATTCAATGTTATTATTGTGCCATTGTTTCTAAATCTTTTGTAGAATACAATACTATGTAAAAACAATTTATATTTTAATTGTTGTTGTTATAATAAAAGCAGTAACGCAACTTTATGGTAATGGCTGTAAATGGATTGATTTCCAAGGAGCATATATATATATATATATATATATATATATATATACTTCTGATATTGGTATATTTCGGCAATACTAATTACTATCTGTTCATTTCTCTTCTGATTGAATAATCGAGACAAGTATCTTTGACGTTCCATTCAAGTGACACACAATTATTGTCGCATGACCTGCGTGTATATTATTCACAGCTGTGGCGTGGATTGGGAAATGTCACTGCTAAATTTGTACGCAAAACCACATTCACGTTACACGTCATCATTTGGTGTATATTCGAGCGGTAGAAAAACAAATCATGCGACATTTTTTGTCAAACCGATGTGATACTTTCGAAGCGATCAACAATTACTCTTTATATTTTGCTTATACGTACTGATGGTTAAAATGTTTGATATCGTGTAATAACCTTACAACATACTAGCTTGTCTGCCATGCTTTGAAAAAAAAAACTGTTATTGATGCAAAAACAAATATTGGGTTTTGTAACAGTAAAAGCGGCAATAGCTGTACCTGTCACAGTTTTTAATAAAACATTTCCTCTCAATTGTTTTTAACAAACATTAGTGCTAATTTGTAACGCCCATCGCCTAATTGTGAATGCTGAAAGCATAGCATATACGCTATATATGGACGCTGTACATCTCAAAAGTGAAAAAAAAAATGGCCACGAGATTGCGTTCAGGTCAGGCTCCAGGAGGCGCCATCTATTGAAATTCATGTTTGTCAAGCGTATCTATTCCAGGGATTATCTTATTCAGCGTGGGCAAGCATAAATAAATTTTGATTGTAAACAGCGCTACTAGTGGCTGTTCCCGGCTCCATGCGTCACAGCGACTACTCATGTCATGAATTTGTTTTTGCGTATCTGTTGATCGACTTAATTAGTTGATTATTCGCGAATTGTTGTGTTATGTCTGTCGTCGTTTAGGCATATTTGAAGTTTTGGACGGAACTTGGCTCAGTGATTTGGAACTAATTACGAGATAACCGTCGCTATTCTGACTACGATTTCTGACAGTTGGTATCCGTAGTTATTAATGTAGTGAACGATTAATCAAAAGATATGACGTATTCAGTACTTAGTGTGATTGGCTTTATGATTGAAAGTTACGCCCTAGAGTCTTTTTTCTGCTTTGTAATTGGTTAGAGTTTTGAAAATGAATACAGTTGTTTTAGTTGGTATTGGCGAGTACAGCACGACAGACGCAGTCGAGAGTCCAGTCCTGGAGAGCCTTGGGGCGAGTGTTGACGCAGTCTAAGAGAGTCTTGGGTCAGCCTTGCGATAGTCTTGGGGATTTTTCCCCAGGGCGCTGTGTCTTATAGAGTGCTCGAAAGACCGACTAAGACGAGAGTTGAAACGTATTTCGTTGTGTGTGTCTTATTTGACTGTAAAAGCTTAAGTGACTTCCCCGATCCCGTACCTCAAGGGGACGAGATATAGAGACGAGACGAGATTCCCCCCTGACACGTGTGGAGAACCCCGTGGAGAAGAATTCCCCCCTGATACTCAACCCTCAGTTTTTACATCGCATTTTATGTAGGGTTACGTTTCCATGCATTTGTGTCTAGGACAATATTTCAGGAAGATTTGGCCATCTTTTTGTGGTTATATTTAAACAAAATTTATACATTTTGATTTTCACAAATTTAATTGGGATGATTTTGTTTATCTTTTCTATTATTATTATTAGTAGAATAATATGTGAAATAATTAATAATCGAATTCTTTGTATCAAATTCACAATATAACCGAGTTTTAATAACAGATTAACAATATACTAGTAGATTGCACAAATAAACACAAGAATACGTCGCCAAATTAACTCTAACATTATGACAAACGAAGAGTGAAATTACCAAATAAACAGTACTTGGGCGTAACCATGAAGGTACACAATCTGTTTTCACTTCCATGGCGTAACATACTGTATTTTGAAAATGTATTTTCTAGTGTCTTTGGTTACACTAATGAAATACGCTCACAGTAGTGATTACAATGGGAACATCCTGAGATTATAAAAAGGGTCTTACAAAAAAAAAAAAAAAAAAAAAATATAAACTAAACGAAAAAATATGAATAAAAAGTAAATACAATTTGCAATCAATGGTGAATAAAGAATAGAAAATAATCACTAATTGTAACCTAATACACTGATAGTCATATGTCATCTGTATATCAGGCCCGGTGCTGGGCGTCTTGTCGATCTCCACTTTTCCACGGTTTAACACCATTAGTTTAGACTTCACTCAGTTTAACTTTCTTTCTTTCCCATCTGCAATTGGGAGTGGAAATGTTGTCTATTCTAATAATAACACAATTCCTGGTATCTTAAGGTAGAGATGCAGTTTAGCTGACAGGTATTTTAATTAGTTAATTAGAAAACCAAGATGACCTCCCTTGTCCACAAAATTATATATTTTCAAAAAGCTTATTGTATGAATTTTAAAATTTTGTTAGTATTTTTTTATGGACACACAGTTTGAAATGTGCACAAAAATGTGCTTTTTTGGTCAAAAGTGATTAAAAAAAATTTGCTTCTAAACCATGCTTTTTTAGAGTATGTTCCACTATTCACAATTCTACAAAAGTTCAACAGTTACAATACTGTTTGGATAATAAAAAGCAAAAAAAAAAATTCACTCCTAAGTGCCTACGAATCTGCATCTCTATCTTAAATTATGTTTATTTGTTATTTTGTAAAGGTATTTTGCGGTAAGTACCAGTAGTTGATCTTTCGTGTACAATCCAGATCTCACTAATTTACGTGAAACTTAATAATGATGAAAACGTAAATTTTAAGCTTTTGAATGGTGGCGACATGTTATTTCTCGAAGTCTTAATTGCATATTCAATATGAGTATTTTTCTTCCGTATTCCCAAGCATGCATGGGTTTGCCACTATACCATAAGGGGAGACAGTCTCTCAGATGTGTTGAGATATCGTCCAATTTCTGTTTTATCATCACTTTACACAATACACATGTTCACAAGCAGATATCTGAGTATTTGCATCATGCTAATCCATTATTAGACGATTTTAGAAAATAAATATTCTACATTACTGCTCAAATTTGGAAAAATATCGGTAATTGCTGTTTTTATGGCGCCCTCTTGCTCGATTTGCTAAAAAGAAATATCTCCTTAACCAGAGTCTGTTATTAGCTATCAATTTACGGTTTATCATACTCGACAACCTGGAGTTTACCACACTCGTACTGAATACCGTAGAATGTAATCGTATTTGACGTTCGTTCTAGGCGTTGGATGAGGAGTCTGGATTTTCGCAGTGATTTTTTTTTTGCAACGGTGAATAATATCTACAGGCATATTTTCATTTGAGGCCTTCAGCACGGCTAGTCGTTCTGATCTGAAACAATAACATTCGTCGTAATAGATGGTATTCCGTACATTGATATATCGCGTATTGCTTGGAGGCGCGACTATGGGAGCGCAGCTTCTGTCATAAGAGGGCGCAATTGTCATTTTTTAACCCTGTAGTATGAAAAAAGCAAAGATTTTTAGATATGGTGAAATTCCTATAAAGTTCTTATGTGCTAAACATTGGCTTTGATTCAGGTTAGCAGTATTTGTTTTAGAATTTCCACGCATTCAACAAAGCGAGTTTTCAATATTTATCAGACCACATTTTCGCACGTAGATAAGTAAAATATCGTTATAAAGCTGAATTTCAAGTTGGCGATTTTCTTTAAACAATAGATATGTTAACAAGAAATGTGACAATTTTCTTGTACGACTTTATACCATGATCATTGATTTAGTAGTGTATGTTACTTTCATTTCCACGAAGACCATATCTTTTTTTATTGATCTCACTATCGTGTGTAGTGCATTC